TTGTTTATTGTATCTAGTTTACATCCTCCAAAGCTCAGTAGGTACTTATTTCTGTTACATCCTGTATTATTGGTTGGATCCACGTTCGCAAAGGTTCCATTGAAATTGAAATTGGTAATTTCTAGTAAAGGGAACATTTATCTCGAAAGAAGTCTGTAAATAATTAATAATCACACTGTCTGGATATTTCAATTTCGCCAATTTGACACACACACACACACACTCACTCACCCTCACACATGAACCGACAGGTGAAGCAATAAGAAATCATCAGCGACTCGACTCGACTCGACCATCGGGCAAATAGCATAAGCATAAGCAGAAGCAGCACCGGCGCGAAGGATTTTACTTTAATGGGGCATTGTCGGTAACTCTCTGAAACGTAATTTACCTGTCAAACTAAGTTATTAAGATATCTTTGTCAGGTGCTGGGTGTTACGACCAATTTAGGTAGGGGGGGGGACTGCGCTGGGAGTGGCAGGCCATCCCGCCGGCTAATAACTACAATGGCCATTCAAATTAAATTCTGATCCACGAACGCTGCAGTCAGTCACAAAACGAACAAACAGAAACGTGAATGTTCACGGTTTTTTGTTTTGCCAAAACATTCTGATTATTTCAATAAGACCCGACTCTACCGCTTTCATTAGCTAAGCTATCGAGTGGAGAAAATTGAAAACCTTTGGCCTTCCAATTCCACTAAACGGGCTTCACATAAAATAGATACACAATAAAAGTTTTTAACTGAAACATTGAAAAAATGATATGTTAGATACTCATCCCAAAACGCTCAATAAAACTCAACCGTAACTCATCGATTTCATTAACTAATCTATTGAATGAAGAAAATTAAAGATCTTTCTACTCACTACTACATAAAATTTTTTACAGAAGCATTGAAAAAATGTTAGGTTAGATACTTATCCAAGAGTATTCTGATTATTTCAAAAATATTCGACTCAGCCATTTCATTAGCTAATCTATCGAGTTTATTCCATTCAAAATGTACTTTTCATCCCAAATTGAAGCTGATGGATAAAAGTAAGTGTAGTTTGACCATAAGTGCCGCTAACGATCTTGAAGCGAATCCCGAAGTCACATAAGGATTATAATATTCTTTTCATCCCCCGTCCATGAAGATGTTTCAATTTTCAGCTGCAGGGATTAGTTTCAAAGATATGGAGGTTAAAATACTATTACCCCAAACGACTCTTATTGTAGAGAGTCAGTTATGGGTGTCAATTGAGTTCCGACATCTAGTCATAACGTTGCATAATGTCACAGATTTCTCCTGAAAGCTCTACATCTACAGAATTCGAGAATGTTGGAGAATTTACTTGAAAGTTCGGGAATGTTCGGCAACGATAACTAATTATTTCTTAGCGAAGCGAGGATACTATACTACATGGTATAGATTTTCTAACTCAAGAGAAAACCACAAAGCTGGTAGTCTAAGCTAAATTAACTTTAAATGAAATTTTAAACATTGAAAGCCTTTTTCGCGTACGACTGAATTCTGTATGCATCGCCGCATTGACATCTGCGATTCGCTTCTCAAACGTCACGAAAATGATCCGTTTTTGAAGCGCATCATCACTTGGGACGAAAAATGGGTTGTATACAACAACGTCAAACGCAAGAGGTCATGGAGCAAAAAAGATGAACCGGCTCAAACCATTTCCAAAGCC